CCTTATATGCTTTGACAACCTTGGGAGCCCTATACAGCCCATACTGGGATGCACTTGGGGTTAAGTTAGCCCTAACGCTAAGCCTATTTGAGCGCGAATCGGGGGGGTCGGAATCTGCGAATCGGGGGGNACAAAATAGCCAGATACGGATAGAAACCCTAACGCTAAGCCTAATATGGCACGAATCGCACCCCGATTCGCGCCTCATATTGGTTAGGCACGGCCTATATTTTTCCTAATATCCGCAGGATAATGTATATCCTATATACATTAGAGCTTGCATAATTAGGACTAGTTAATGTTAAGACCTAATACTTAGGGCATTAAGCACGGGCCTTAAGTCAATATCTACTAACAATTGTGAATCCTAATATCCTCAGTATAAATAGAGGGTTTTAGATTTCGCGAATTAGAGGTAATAAATCGCAGAATCTAGTATATAACTCTAACACTAAACCTATTTTAGCACGAATTAGGCCTCTTTCGTCGCCTTATATTGGTTAGGGTTTAGTAAGCGCTTATTTCCCGGTTATGTATGGAGTCGAGAAGCCTTTCTGCCGGAATCAGGCTGCCAACTTCAAGGTACTGCCGCTTACTACCGCCTTGCACTCTGATAAAGCGGGGTATTTCTCTTTCTGCGCTTATCTCTGGTTTTTAGGCATTCATCAAGCATCAATATCCAATAACAAGCATCAACTCTTTAGTATCGAGCATCCTCGACGATACGTTATACCCCAATGGTCAAGCTAGCACTTGTCGATCGATGTCAACTATATGTTGAATATCAGATCCCGCTAGAAGGATTGAGCACATACGTCTTAGCTTTAGACACCAAGATCGGCAACCACGAAGGAAGCTTCCAACCTGGTGGATACCGTTTTTCGTTGAGTGCTCGGAGCATCGTTCTAGAACAGAATATTCTATGCGCTGAGCTGAAGACTAGTGGAGGGGACTGGTGGTACGATCAGCTCGAGGTGGTCGTTAATGTTTCAACGGACCCTACACCAGTGAACGTCTCGATCGAATTTCGCCGATGTGATCATATTCGACTGCAGGGATGCTACAATCTCAGACTTATAGATCAGCGACTCCTCGCAGCCAAGTATCTTGGACCAAATGAAAAAGCCAAGGACATGTATATTGACCTAAAGAATTACCTCGGAGTCAAAAATGGTGCTTTCGACAGAAATGAGCGAAACTTCTCAAGCAGTGTTCAGAATGCTTACATGATTGGCACCACTCTGTGTGCGACTCACAATGACGGTCACCCAATCTCGATCGCATTGTCCAGGGTGCTACGGTTGAAAGATGGGTCATTCTCGCCCCTCAGAGTGACGAAGAACGAGGATCTGGACTATGAAGTCCTGGCGGATTCATCAGATAGGAGATGGCTACCCAACGCGGATGTTCCCAAACTAATCAACTACAAGCAAAAGCGTGCATGGTATCTCATCGCAAATTGCCTCAATTCACGTGGTTCATATCAGGAATCGACCATCAGACTCCATGATATCATTGGACCAGGCGATGATGAGATGTTCACCTTTTTCTCTGAGAGGCCAATACCCGAACATGCACGCGAAACAAGATTGAACAACGGGATCTTAACTGCTAGCTTCAATGTGGATGATGACAAATGGATTCAGAGATCATTTGATTTAGCCGAATTGGTGACTAATGAAGGAGGCGAACTAGTTAAGTAAGTGACCTTTTCGTTTAGCCAGAATCGACTGTTTTGGCACACAAGCTTGTTAGGTAACATATCTGACATAGCGTTGCAGACGCAGATTCGGCTCAGAATGCCCTCGGTGTAGTAACTTATTCTATTCAGGCGCATTCTATACCCCTTCCTCAGGTTCGAGTATACATCTCAACAGACCAATAGTTTCAAAGACTCACCATTGTACGTTTTGCAAATTGGTCGACAAAGCTATTAAGGAGTACGCACCTGCTTGTGATCGCTACGAAACGTGGGTACTAGCTCGCGATCGCTGGGGAAACCGCGAGCGTTTAGGAGTTATTACAAAGAGGGAAGTGGCGCTTGTAATTCGAGCTTATGGAATGAAAACTAGCACGAGAAGAATCTTGTACGATCGGCTAGTACATGGAAAGCAGAACGTACCAAAATGCGTCGATATAAATTGCGCAATAATGCTTCAAGTTGGAGACCACGAAGGAGCAAATAAGAAAAGGGTAGCAAAAGCCCGTGCTCCAAAACGTTATTGAACTATCCCACGGAATACGCATGATCTTTATTAGCTGGATCCAGGTCTAAGATGGTCAACGATTCGGAGCTGGATCAAACTCTGTCAAACAGAACATGAAGGTTGCTTAACTCCGACCTCGCCTCAGCTTCCATCACGGTATCTAGACGTCGGATTGAGCGATTCAGATCCCGTGAAACTAGTCATTTCCAATGGCGAACATGGGGAGTACGCGTGCCTGAGTCATTGTTGGGGTAGTTCGCATCCCTGCACTTTGACAGAAGAAACCAGAGCAGAATACACTAAGAAAATTCGCAAAAGCAATCTTACACTAGTGTTCTCTGACGCAATAAAGGTCTGTAAGAAGCTTGGCTTAAGAAGACTCTGGATTGATTCGTTCTGCATATAGTAAGACAGTAAAGAGGACTGGAGTTACGAGTCGCAGAGAATGGGGCCATACTATCGCAACTGCACCGTATGCATCGCAGCTATAAGCTCTGCCAATTCGGAGAAGAGTTTCGAGATCGTAGAAAGACCTAGGATGGTAAGCTCATCTAGTACGGATCCCGAAAGTGGAGTTTTCAGTCTCCTTACTTACCCTCTCGACTTAGTGGAGGAAAAGGCTCATTTTGGCCACTCGAATAATCTAGAAACTTCCCTTAAAAGCTTTCCACTTCTTACCCGTGCATAGGTCTTACAAGAGCGTTGGCTATCACCGCGAGTACTCCACTTTTGTGGTTCTAAAGTCGTCTTTAAATATGCTCAGTTAACGACTTGCGAGTGTGGTCAAGCAAGACAATCCTTTACGGATCTGATAAAACCGTTAATGGATGTACGATGGACAACAACATCACATAAGGGACTAATAGCCAAGCGTACACAGCTTGCAGCGATCGGGTGGGACCACTTCATTACGACATACAGCGCTTTAAGAATTACATACAGCACAGATCGCTTAATTACTATATCTAGTCTAGCATCTACGTTGTACGGTATGAGATACAAATCGAATGAAGATAGTGAACACGAAAGCCTGCCGGTGTATCTTACTAGACTATGGCGGATAGACCTCGCCAGAGATATGTCATGGTTTGTGGGATCGACTATGATCTTTAGGAAAGACAACAACTCCACAGCTAAAGCAATAGGTACAGAGAGAGTGCGCAAGTCCAAGTCTACAGCTTACGTTACACCTTCTTGGTCATAGGCTTCGATATCGGATCCCGTACGATATATCTGCCTGTTCAATCCAAATCCGCAATTCACTCTCCTAGATGCGCAAATTAACTTAGCCACAGAAGACATATATAGATCTGTAAAAGAGGGCTGTTACCTCTATTTGAGAGGGAAAATCGCAACGAGTTCCTGGGAATTAACAACCGATGCTCAAAACATGTCGGTTTATCGTCTCAAAGACATTGTTGGCACTCAAATACTTGGCAAGACTAACCGACTGGGCGTGAACTTTTCTCTAGATTATACAATCGCTAAGCCCGGTCCGAATCAATTACCCTCAACAGCAATGCTTTACCTATTTCCATTAGTAAAAACTGATGTGTTATTTAGCTTAATGCACCGTACAGATGAAGATACTAACTAGGAGAAAGAGTCGAGATGTACATTATGTCTGGTCTTGAAGGCAGTTGTCACACAGTTTGAAAAGGCGCGTGTGTATGAGCGAGTTAGCTTCACAGAATTTCCAAATTTCTAACCCGGAATGAGGAATGTCGACCCTAATGATTATTCAGACGAAGATTTCTATATTATCTAGTTAGGGATATAAGGCAGCGCGCGAGAAGGAGTCTTCTATGATAGGATAGATCGAGAATGTTTTTACATAATAAGTAGAGCTAAGTAAATGTACGTGTGCTTATTCAGGAGCCTCTAGAATCTTAAACTAATAATAATGCTAGGTTTTAGTGAGCAGTTTGTCAGCTAGATGCTCTAGAGAAGTGCGTGAATCTATTGATGTAAAGCGTAATTCCGCATTCGATCGTGACGAAGTATTAGAAGATCCGTTGGAAGTGTTAAACATCTGCTCTAGCCTTGTTACAATAACTGTTGAGAACAACTAAAGAGTAAGAGAATCATCAAGACATATCGTTGCGTTGGCGCATTACTCGGTCAAGGAGTATTCCGTCTCAGACAGAATCCCTTCTTCCTTCCCAGCCCATCCCAGCATTTAACAAGTCCCAAACTCACCCTAGCAACCCGCACCACAGTGATCGCTCGTAGAACCACAGTATCCGTATGCAGAGCAGCAATGGCCAAACCCACTTCCAGCGCACACGTACCCGTTCGGTCCACCACAAGAGCCGTCGGGTGAGACTAGGCCTGTGGTTGCTAGGGCTATGGTTCCGGTCGTCGTAGTTGCTGTTGTTATAGGCCCTGATGTCATGGTCCCTGTGGTCAGGGATTTGGTCTCTATACTTGACTCTGGCTCTACATACGTAGCTAAGTAGATCTCAGTCGTATACGTCGACGTCATAAGCACATCGATAGTCGGCGTGAGCGTCACCATATCATCGGGGCTCCAAACTACAGGTATATACGAGTCGGTTATGTCCCCCGTGTCCGTGCTGTTGCTCGGCAAAGTATTGGGCGTCATATCGCGCCAGCGAGGATTGTCTTTAGTCCAGTCGCCGTCGCCTACGTATTTACAGGACAACTTAGGCCCGCCAGCCGAGACGATGGCCCGCTCCGCGCACCCGGCCTTTATGAAGACGGGGAGCTGGAAGTAGGTCCACCTTCCCTAGTCTGTTCTTGATTCCTCAAAATCCCAGCCTGTCAAAGCACTGCGGCTTTTTTCCTCTTTTTTCAGGCTGGCGCCGCCGTCGTCAGCCCAGCCGTCGATCTTGTAGACTCTGAACATGAGGAAGCTTAAAACATAACTGTTCTGGTCAGCCACAACATCTATATCGAAATACAGAGCATAGTGATGTATATTATGGAGAAAGGGGGAGATGGAAAGGTGGGTAGGAAGGGGGACGTACCTGTAATCCCACTTGGCACTTGCAACTTTGGGCACCACCACTGTCTTGGTAGTAGTGGTTTGGACGGTCATTGTGACGGTCTTCTGAACCGTGATTGTCTCTGACAGCCCGAACTGCGTTAGGGTAAACTTGGATCCATCATAGCCCGCTGGGTTTGTCGGCCAGTAGTCCTTTGGGATATCAAGTCCATTAATCTGCGTCCTGTCGGCTGCCGCGTCAGCATTTATCGCACTCGCGACATCCGGATCGCGCGTGCACGCTGGAACGCCAGGCGTCGTCGTAAACGAGGTGTCCTTTCCGTTACAAGCTGTCTTGGTCGCGCAGTCAGTCTGTCCCGGGTTAGCATGTCAGTGTGACTGTGTCTCTAAACCCCGAATAAGGGTACTAGAGAAGATGGAATTAGGGCTTACTTCTATGGTAATTGTCGAGGAAGCCAGATACCACGCGCTATAACTCGTCACCAGATACGTGCACGCCGACACCGTGACCTCAGTCTCGCACTCAGTAGGATCACCGCCGCCGCCGCCGCCGCCGCCACCTCCTATACTACCGCTGCCGGCTGGACAGACCAGGCCAACGTATTTAAGATTAGGAGTGTTGCACAAGGGGCTAATACAGCCGCAGATGCTAATATAAAGACGCTCTTAATAGTCTCTACTGCTGCCGCCGCCGCTACTATTATTATCATCGTCTCTACTACCGCAATTATGCTTATAAGGGCTTCTACACTTTTACCTAAGCTTATAGTTAAGCGGTAGTAGGCCCCTTATAGTAGTAACAGATAGTAGCTTACCTATAGGAGAGGGAGAAGGCAGGGGAAAAGGGTTATCGTTAGTAGAATTAATAGTAGGCTAGAGCCTAGGCGAGTATATCTAGGTAACGAGAGGCTATCCTAATCTAGTCCTAGTAATTGTAACTAGCAGGAAGTCAACGCTTAACGTAAGGCTCATAGTAGTAGTAGTCTTACTACTCTTATTATTACTATTAATCCATAATACACTCTATACCTTAATTATAGTTATAGTAATAGATTATAGGGTAATAATAGTACTAATCGTTATAATAGTCGTATTCTACGTATTAAGATATAATACTATAGTAAGAGGGCGGGAGATGGTTATTAGCCTAGTAAGGAACTAGGGTAGTATAGTTAAAGTGCACGGCGGGAAGCACTAAGCGACTAGGGTTAGGCTATTATAGATATTAGGCGTAATATAGATAGGCCAAGAGCCTTTACTATTAGATAGCGCATTAAGATAGGCGCTGCTCTAGCAACCTATACTAAAGTAAAGTATACTATAGTAAAGCTTACTATTACTGTAGAATCTAAAAGATAAATAATAGCTTCTCTAGGGCTATAGGCCATAGAAGGCCCTATACTCTAACCCGCTATAGGTTCTATCTATTATTGTTACACGGTGTTGGGTGCTGATACTTCTCTAAGCTCGATCCGGGTTAGGGCGAGTGAGATGGTGTGAGGAGCCCCGTAAGAGTTTGTCTGGCAATGCAGTAGAGTAGTGTGCTTAAATAAAAGGTAACAAAGGTTTAATAACTACTAATCTATATTAAATAGACTAACAAGTAATAATCTTATTAAGTAAAGTAACTAGTAAGAAAGTATAATTTATGTAACGGCTCAGCACCCGTTCCTATATACATCCGAACAGGATTCGAACTAGAGTATAATTTGGCCTAGTAGAAAAAACGACTATATAAACCTAACCTCTATAATAGCTTATTAGGTAGATTTTTAATATCCTTTCGTACAAGGCCTATAG